CAAGAAAATAAAAACTGAACAAGTACAATAAAAAGTCCAACGAAGGTATAAAAAACAAGTAAATTGCAAAAAAACTAACAATAAAAGCTAAAAATACAAGATAATACACATTACTTCACATATGAGGTCGAACGTATGAATTGCTTGTATTGCATTGATTTTTTGATTTTTTTAAACCAAGTAAGTCGAGTAGCTCCAGAGATGTGATTCATCTCACAACTACATGAAACACTTTAAACGTTGGGCATCTGTGAGCAACACCTTCCTCAGTCTGTTCTTAAACGAGTTCTAAAGAAAGCTCTTCAGACGTCCACGTCACATTCATGACGCGTTGTAAAAACACAGAGATGTCCGTAGCTGTGTTCTCATAATGATCAATCGTATCGTTCCCATAATATGAAGCATGTAAACAATCTGCCGGTTGCCATGAAGGAGCGCGAGACTTCCGGTCCGTGTGCACACACACAAACTGAAAAGACGAGTTGAGACGAGTTAAGAATGCTCCAAAAGCACCCGACCGACATTTACCAGCAAATCAATGATCAAGTAAAAATGAATTATGTTGGTAACCACTGTCCAATAATGGGATTATAACTCATTATTGATTTACATGCATCAACATTGGACAGAATCATTCTCTTCATGACATTCAGAAGTTGTTAAATCTTTAAAATATCTTTAAAACAAGGAGTTCACTTTGTAAAAGAAAAGAGGGCGTTGGACACATAAAACTGACGTATGATTATTATTTAGTACGAAAGGTTTGCTTGTGTTTGTGTTTGTAAAGGTAGTAATGAAAGGATTAGGGTCTAACGGTAGAAACAAGAAGCGCTTTCTTCGACAGAAAGTGAATTTTAAGGGATTCATATTCAGTCATGCAGCGATCTTTACATATTACGCAGAGCGGGTTTGGAGCATGAGAAGTCCCTCTCGGGATGAACCGTATTTTAAGTAGGACTCCTGATACCGTCTGTTGAATGAAGCTTTCTTTTTCTTTGAAGTTGAAGGCTCTTCTTCTGTCTCCTCAGTGGGCCTTTCCCCTTAGCAAAGAAGCTCTCCAAAGACATTTGTTTTTCACTCATTTTCACTAATGTTTGCTTGTGGGCTTAATTTGTGCGGTAACGTATCAGGTGACAAGCGTCTTGACATGTGTCAAGTGGGACAGGCGCATGTAATTGGGAGAGAATCCGGTCATTTTTCAAAATAAAATATCTTTCCGACTCTGATAATCAATCAAATGAAAAAAAGTTATTTATTCTTTCTGTGCGGCTCGGTACCAAATGACCCGCGGCCCGGTACCGGTCCACGGCCCGGGGGTTGGGGACCACTGCTCAGGTGTGTTATTTTTGACTTTTGGGGAGTGTCGCTGGATAGGTAAAGCAACGGGTCCGGTTTGGCTGCGTTGGTTGGTTGGTTGTTTTGTGCGGTCAGAGCAGTTGCCTCGGGGACACATCCGGAGCTGTCAGGTGAGTAACCAGCTCATGTCTCATGTCATTTAACGCAGCAGCGAAATATACCAGTAAAAACTTGTCAGCGGTTGATGGGGAATGTCGATTGACAGTTGACGAGGAGTAACCGTCTCTTGTGGTGTGCCGGTGGAACAGAAGTGACGGATACCACCAGTCAGAGTTACACATGACAAAGAACTGGCATGTGACACGAGAGCGAAAGGATATAAGGTGCCCGGGGCAGAGGCATGAGATCCAGCACTGCGGATCTCATGCGGTGATAAAGAACAGACAACACCTTGACTCTATTATCTGTGTGTGAAGATGCAGACGGGTTGACACACATTTACACACCCAGCGCCAACAAATGTTCTTCAGTCCTGATTGGTTGCACAGACTGTGTCTGCTTATAGCTGTAAGGAGGCGACGGTGTTGATCTCTTCACTACCTTTGACAGAAATATGCAGATTACAGCATCAGGCCAATGCTGCACAACTTCTTCTTGTTTGTCCTCTCTACCAACCGTCAAACAAAATGGAGTCTTCAATGATGCACCAAACATGAAATCCCCTGAACTCAAGGTCCATCTGGATATCTGGCACCCCCAAACACAGATGTTCTGCAGGAATGTGTAAGCATTCATAAAAACCCACAAATTCAGATTTTATAAATTTCTGTGCACATTTTTCAGGACAGAAGTCTGTGCTTTGAGTCCATTACAGTCATTTAGCACTCAGTATCCATATATACACCGTAGGCACAGCTACGGGAGCAATGCTCAAGGACACATCGACATGCAACTAGTGGAGCCGGGGATCGAACCGCCGATCATCTGATTGCAGGACGGCCCTGCTCTCCACTTAGCCACGGTCACCCACATGACATGTAAAAACGTTTTTTAAACTGGTGGTGGATAGTAAACACATAAACGTGGGTGTGCAACTTTAACAATTATAGTCATCTTTGAGAAGGTCATTCTAATTATAGCATCAATATAATCATCCTTTAACTAATACCTTTAAAAAGAATAGAATGTGACTATTATTAAAAATAAGCCGAGTCATCCCAGTGCTCTGCAGCCGAGTAAAGGTCACAGGCTTGTTTTGATGTACCGATCTACAGACCGCTGTCAGTTCTCCCTGTTATTGTGTTTCAAAGAACAAAAGATCTCCTCAGCTGTAAAAACAGCACAAGTTCACAGTGTGAACAGATTTACCGACGTGATCGCATCATTACTGAACTAGAAGGACCTCCACTTCACTTCGTTAAGGTATTTTAATAGAGGAGATGTGAAACAGTCAGCTACGGGAAATTAACGAGGAAATCACGCAGCGGACTGTAGCTGCTGGATCTTATTACAGTTGCACAACATGTTTACTTTAAGTTTCTTTTGTCTGACTCATCCTTAGAATGTGATTAATTAGATGCAATTCAATGGTCAATAACTGGTCACTTAGCATACTTCCCAGCATGCCTTTGAATTGGGTAAAACCCTTCTGTCCTTCATTTAGTTCATTTAGTCTGAATGAATGTGTTATATGTTGCAGTGAGATGACTCAGCGTCTCTTGTTGGGTAAAAATAAAAACACTATCCAACTTAACGTAACACCCTAACCTGAATATAGTAAATTACAGTCGGATCAATATTCCATACCATTCATTTAATGTACATTAATGGGATACGAACCACAGAGAATATCATCACTGCTCGTGAAATGATTTATTTTCTATTTTCTTTTGTATGTTTTTCAAATTTTAATATTAGATGCCATTGATTTTTCTATGATTATTATTATTATTATTACTATTATTTATATGTTTAGTAGTGTGTGGTCCTTTATGCAAACTAAAGACTTAGCAAAACAACCGTTTTCAAAGTTACAAGGTTATTTTATTGTCATTGTACAACATGGTAGAACAAATAAATGCAGATTGCAGTTCTATTTTGCTACATAACGAATGCTATATTTGATATGGAGGATGAGTTAAAGAGTCTCACAGTCAGAGGAAAGAAGCTGTTCTGAAGTCTGGTGGTTCGACAGCTGATTCTTCTGTATCTCTTCTAGACGGCAGCAGATGAACAGCTTGTGTCTGCGTGTTTTGTCTTTTAATATTCTTTGAACTCTTCGCAGGCACCTCATGTCATCAATATCACTGACGCTCAGTCGATGGTACTGATGACGTTCTGGGCGGTTTTAATCGATTATATTTAATATTTATCCAATAGTAGAAATCAGTCAGTTTTTATATGTTGCATCTAAAATTGCCCTGTGGAATGATGTTGTTCCGTCTCTTTGAATTAAGAGGATGTTTAAGAAAAAGTTGGTTTGGTTAAATAAAATAGAATATACTAAAATACTTGTAACAGAGTTTGATTACATTTTGGGAGAAAAAAAAATATCACAAAACCAAAAAAGTGCTTCAAGAACATGAAACGCATTATAAACCAACACGAACACTAACCAAGTGGAATTTGAATTAAAATGGAAACTGTATTTAAAAATATACAGCAATGACTTCATTGAGATAAGTAACTGATTACACTGATACGGAACACGGTTATCGACATAAAAACACATTTACCTTGCCAAATGTACTTTTGTGTACTTTTGATATGGATCTGCAATGATGTTTTAGACAGCCATGTTTTCCAAGTTTGTTTCATCAGTTTGTGACCTTCCTGTTTCAACATGACAAAGTCAGCTCACACAAATAAATGCTGTTCCCAGTTTGATGTGGAGGAACTTCAGTGTCCTGCACCTCACTGGGATGAACTGGAACTGGACTTTGAAAATATCCTCAAAGACACTAAATGAATTGGAAATTCATAATGATCACAAAGAGACAAACAACAACTACAAAGAGACAAAACAACTACAAAAAGGACAAACCATAACTTAACATAAACAACAACAAATAAAGTGACACAAAACCACAGAGAGACACAGAACAACAACATCAAGTCTGGGTATCTTGTTCCTTTAAGAGAGGTGATGTGACCTTTTGCATGTCTGTGCCGTTGTCTCATTATCAGCCCACCTTCTCACCTGATACCACTTCACCTCTCAGCCCCGTCGAACATATATACCAGTTCATCTGCACTGGAGCTCTGCCAGTTCATGAAGGTTGCAACGTTGCTTTCCAGCATTTGGGTTCAATCCTTTGTTTCCTGAGTCGTGACAGATACAAACAAAATGGAAAAACCCACAAAGTATATATAAAAGACATTGAAAGACAGTCCAGTAAAAACAACACAAAGAAACTTCACAAGAAACCTTTTGACAAAAACTAAAAACTTTGTGTTGTGACGACCCTCTCTGCCTGTTCGTTTGGCTGCCTTCCTTGCAGGTGTGGAGGTGGGTGTGGCAGAGGGCCGTCAGGCAGAGTGGAAGCACCTGAGGCCATTTGCAACAGTGTTTGAAGGAAAGCTGCAAAGATGACGAAAGACAAAGCTTAAAAAAACAGTTCAGTCCTGATGGTCCAGGAGTTTAACACGCAGACGATGTAATATCTCAGAGTCAAGTCAAATATCTTTGTTTCATGTCATCCACCTCCTTTTTCCTTTATGGTCCACTGTTAACAAAGATTAAAAATGTCCAAAAATTCCTGTAATAAAATCTTAAATTCCATTTGAAAGCTCGCAGGCAATCAGTGACGTCCAGGAAGAACTGGAGTGAAACAGTCACACCTGTTGAACAAGTGGTCACCAGGTGGCGCTGTAAGAGAACAAGACACATCAAGAACATAAAGCCCCCAAACATCTGCTCATAAATCCTGTCACTGACAAAATAACGTTCCCAAACAAGTGCACTCGAGGTTTCATTTCTAGGGAAACCCTGAATGTACAGTCACAGTTTTTAACAATTAAAACAAAACAAAAGGAAAAAACCTATAAAAAATACTTTATTTGGTAGTAGTATTTAGTAGTTTAGTCATTTAAACTCACTACGAAATGAAAACAAAAGAATTTGGTTTCCACGGGACTCGAACAGCAGTCTCCTGGGAGAGAAGGGACCCGTCCTCCAACCTTCATCATGTGTGAAGGTTCTTTTTAGCAGACTGAGCTGCTCAGATCAGATGATTGAATGTTGAATTTCATTGTATTTGTTAAAGTGTCAATTGTGTTAAGGTTCACTGATTATTGTGTCTTTGACACAATACACACGCAATGAAAGTGACTTTTAAAGTAAAGTTGATTTTGTGTTTTCATGTAGACTGACCTACTTACTGCATATCACTGAGTCTGTCCTCAAAATACCAAGAAGTTCACCAAACTTACAATAAATGATTGGTGTGTATGTGTGTTGCTGTTAAAGAGGGAGATCATTAAGTTCAAAGCAGCTGCTGTGTGTGTGCCAGGATTCCTGTTTAGGTGTGGTGCAACATAGAGAACGATGTCTAATATGTTATTATAATTAATTAATCATACATCACAATACATGCTTTCAGTACTGACATGTAGACAGATGACACTTAATTATGTAGTTTTGTATCTACGAAAGATCCGTGAGATGTAGTTAAAGGCGTGGCTGCACGAGGTACATGTTGTACCTAACTGTACGGAGCAATTACAAAGAGCAAAGACCTCAACAGCGCTTATTAGAAGAATGACAGAACTCATTCATGTGTTCTAATGAAACTCTTTCTTTATCGCTAAATGGTTTTGCAGTGGACAGGTGGGCTACCAGGTGTGTCAATCAGTAGTTAGGTATGAGTTTTAGGGGGTTATCATCTATGTCATACGTCATATAGGAGCTGCCAAAACATTTTCTGTGGTGGACAAAACCTGCATACAGGCAGATGAGTTCCACTCCAGAGATGTGATTTATTTGACGATCTGGAGGTCTGTGAAGGATTTTTCCTCCCTGTTGGTCTCTCATCTTCTTCTCTAATCTTTCATCCCGTCCAACAAAGCCCAGTTGAAGCCCAGTTGAAGCTTTGGTGGTACCACGAAACGCCCCAACGGTGACTGTGGCCAAATGGAAAGCTGTCAGAATCTGTTGACATTTGTTTTTGCCTGTATTGAAGGTTTTTCCGTCTGTTGATTGGTTGGTTTTTTTAGACCAAAGTTGTGTTGTGCCCCCCCTCATCCTCTCAATGTTGACTAGTGTACAAAGCAACGAGATGCTGATGAGATTCTCTGTTTCAAGCGTGTATCTTGGGTTCTCTCAGTAACATCATATGAATCCATCACATAATCCCATCATATGTTGACATCATTATCTAACTGCTCAAATGTTTTTCAAAGACCACTTTTATGTCCACCTGCAAAGGAAATGGGCCAATTTAGTACACTATGAAAATGAGTTTCCATTGTGTTGCCACATATGATGTGACACCAGCTGACAATGAAACCTCAATGAAAGTTTAGTCTTTTGAACAAAATTGAATATGCGCTTAGTGCAGGCAATATAGCAACACAACTATTGTCTGGATTGTGTTCGCAGGCAACGTTCTTTCGAGTGAGTGAAGCCCCACACTTACATGTTCCTATAAAGAATGTGATCGCTGTTGTAAATCAGTTGAAAATTAATTGAATTTCCTCCAAGAGAGGTTGAAACAATTCAGCTCACATTTCTTAGATAGAAGGATGTAAATAAAGACGGGTATGGCGACAAAAAAACGACTCATGAAACAATGAAACTTTAATGAAAATGAGAATAAAAAGACACACAAGGCATCAAAGATAATTTAAAGGAATCATCAACCCAATAAACATATGTTGTTGGGTGTGCCATGAGGCCCATTGACGCCTACAGTAGCACAACATAGGTCATCTACCATACTGTTCTAAAAGTGTTCCTAACATTTCACTACCAACGTAAAGTGAATGATACATTTCATAATTACTGGTTGCAATTTCAAAATGAAATGTCACTTGGCGAGTTACTCATGTGTATGAACCACACAGCATCCAATTCCCTGCTGTAAACAGAAAAAGAAAATGTGGCCTCCACCTGGGAGGGGAAGGTTTCTGAGTCTATAATCACGATTGTTATTATTAATTAGTCATTGCATGTGACGAGGACTCAAAACGTATTAATACACGAAGAGGCAGAGAGCAAAGGCAGACTTCAGAGGAAGAGAGGTCCACCAAGTGACACCGAGGAAACCGCATCGCTTCACTTGACTTGACTTCACCGCATTATCCGAGTAAGTGGAAAATTTATCTTTCTTCTTATCCTTTTTATCTTCTATTCTTACTATTCTTATCTGATTCAATGTTGACTTTTTTGATTTCGCAATTATTTGTTACATGTCATCTGCGTACAATCGTCTCGGTACAGTCGGTGATGTTGCTGATTAGAAACAACCCAGAGGAGAGATGATGACACGTTTCTTTTCTCCATGATTTCTCAATCAATATGTGAATTTATGAAGGGCTAAACTATCCATAAAAACTGCTATGAAATAAGACTATTACACGTAATACATTTTATTTGTATCGCGCTTGAAAAGGTCCTCGACGGCGTGGTAGAGATGTGGATCAAATCTCTCTCTTGATGATAGATTTTCACAACTTCATTGCTTGCCGTGTTTGAGAATATCAAACATTTGTTGGTTCTGGCTTTTCTGATTTGAGCATTAGCTGGCAGTGTTTTTGACTGTTGAGAAAGACAAAAAACAATATTTAAGGCTTAACTCTGGCCTCTGCGCTTTTTGTTGTCATTTAACAGAATTTATGCTGATCATATGCATTCCAACTGATTTTATTTATCGGATAAGAAGGATTTGGAAATCTATTGCCATTTGTTTTTTCGAGTAAATTCACTCAATGTTGACAGTGTACAAAGCAACAATATTCTCATGAAATTAGCTGTATTTTGGGTTTGAGCTGCTGTTGTGTTGAGTGCAACTACAGTTTGAGCTCTTACACCCTCCCAACAGCAGAACATCCTGCATACAGAGAGATACAGAGAAATCACAGACACTCCACAGTGTCTGTGATTTATTTGACAATCTGGAGGTCTGTGTAGAACTTTTCCTTTCTGGTGGTCTCTTCTTCTTCTCTCATCTTTCATCCCATCCAACAAAAAACAATGGAAGCACTGTTGGGACTGTTGTTGTACCAAACGGTGGCAACGGTGACTGTGATGTGAAAGTTGTCAGAATCTGTTGACATTTGTTTTTTCATGCTGATGACCTGTATTGAAGGTTTTTCCGTCTGTTGATCGGTTGGTTTTTTTAGACTAAAGTTGTGTTGTGCTCCCCCTCATCCACTCAATGTTGACTAGTGTACAAAGCAACGAGATGCTGATGAGATTCTCTGTTTCAAGCGTGTATCTTGGGTTCTCTCAGTAACATCATATGAATCCATCACATAATTCCATCATATGTTGACATCATTATCTAACTGCTCAAATGTTTTTGAGATTTGGAAGACCACTTTCATGTCCACATGCAAAAACAAATTGGCCAATTTAATTGCAGACGGAAAAGGGTTTCTGGATTTTCTTTTTATTGCCACATGTTATGCGACACATTTTTAGAAACTACCAATAATGAACCCTTAATGACATTTTGATATTTTGAACTCTGTAATATTAGATCCTCGGGGGAAGGAAGCATGTTAATATTTTGCAAACAATCTGCATGTAAAAATCTCCTTTCTACTATTTTTCATTTTCTTTCAGGATATCACCATATGTAGTTTTGGAGGAGGAAGGGGAGGAAAACAGAAAGAAATCACGATGTTCATCAAGACCTTTATCGTTGTTCTTGTACTTGTTGGTAAGTAATTAAGAGTCATTTATATTTCTTTATATTGGGTTTTGTTTAGTTGGTTTCCTGTTTTATTCTGTCAGGGTTTAAGGCAAAAATGTTAGCAGTGAATGGACCCAAACGCAGAGAGAGACGAGGGAACAGAGGGATGAATAACGATGACTTTAATTGTTAAGAAAATGTTCAAAAAAACCTTGCAGAGTAGGGGAGTCAAAACATGTGTAACAAAAAGTCCAAGGAAACAAACTAACTAACAGGAAACATGGCAGAGAAGACCAGGAATCATTATAGATCAAAACAGGGAGCAGAGCAGACGACACTGAGACAGACGACACACAGGGTTTAAATACACTGAGGAGGAAGCAGGTGATTAGACACAGGAAGATTCAATCAGGGGCGGGACAATCACACAGGCGAGAAAACATACAAAGGCAGGAAGTGAAGTGAATACAGGACACAAGAGGAAGGGACGTTCAAAATACAACAGGAAACCAACGAAACGAAACCCAAGACCATATACATATGTATGTATGTATGTATATATCGGACACCACAACTAAACATGACAATTTATGACTGAATTCTGACCAAACTCTTGACTTGAAACAGCAACCAACAGCCAGCCTGCCGAGGGAACCCTGAGAGATAAGTGCCTAACAAGAACAACCACAATGGCCCCAAGTGTGATCACAACTGCCGTGACAATGACCACAGATTCCCCAACAATGATTCAAGCACCAGTAACTATAAAAACAACAAGAGAAGCAACAACAGCTGCCCCAACAACTACAGCAGCCGCAACAACCACAGCTGCCCCACCAACTACAGCAGCTGCAACAACAGCTGCCCCTCCAACTACAGCAGCTGCAACAACAGCTGCCCCACCAACTATAGCAGCCGCAACAACAACAGGACCATTAGCAGCAGCAACTTCAGCAAGTGCGAACGCAGCAGCAACGGCTTCAGCAATAGCAGCCGAAGCTGCAGCAACAGCAGCAGCAGCAGCAGCAGCAGCAACTACTGGACCCACTGCTTTAGCTGCAGCAGAAGCTGCAGAAGTTGCTGCTACAGCTGCATTACAAGCAGCAATAGCATCTGCTGCAGCAATAAACGGATTGTTACCACCAACAGTGGCAGCAGAAGCAGCAAGAAATGCAACAGACGCAGCCAAATTAGCATTAATTGCAGCGAAAGAAGCAATTGAAATGGCACCAACAACAACAACAGAAGTAGAAAGAACAATTGCAGAGGCATCAGCAAATGCATCAGAAGCAGCTAATAAAGCAGCAGCGGCAGCAGAAATGGCTGCAACTGCAGTGACAGCAGAAGATGCAGAGAACGCTACAGCAGCTGCAGGAAAGGCAGCAGAAGAGGCAACAGTAGCTCTAGCAGCACTACGAGCAGCATTAGCAGCAGCTACAAACCAAACACCTGAAACAGCAATAATGCAACTATCAATTTCGGCAGCAGAAACAGCAGCAGAAATGGCTGCAAAAACAGCAACTAAAGCAAAAGCAGCAGCAGAAGCTGCAACAGCTGCTGCAAATGCAACAAATGAAGAAACAGCAGCTGAAAAGCTAAAAGAAGCAGCCAAAACAGCCAATGAAGCAGCAACAGCAGCAATAGCAGCCGCTGTTGCAGGAAAAACAGCAGCAGCTGCTGCAGTAACGTCCATTTCGGCTTCGGCAGAGACGACAACAGCCGCTCCTGGAAAACCCGCTCCTCTACCATTACCAACAGCCACTGCTTCAGCAATAGCAGCAGCAACATCAGCAGCAGCTGCAGCGTCAGCAGCATCAGCAGCAGCTGCAGCAATAACAGCAGCCACTGCAGGAAAAACATCAACAGCTGCAGAAAATGCTTCAAAAGCTGCACTAGCGGCAGTTACTGCTGCAGAAGCATTGACAGATGGGGAAGTTTCACCAAAAGTGGCAGCAGAAGCGGCAGGAGATGCAGCAGATGCAGCTTTAGCAGCAGCAGCAGCAGCAATAGAAGCAGCAGCAGCAGCACCAGCAGAATCCTCAGCATTGGCACAGAAAGCACTTGAAGCATCATTAAAGGCAGCAGCAGCAGCAGCAGCAGCAGCAACAGCGGCAAGATTAGCAGCAGACACCGAAGAATCAGAAACAACACCTGAGAATGCCATAAGAGCTGCACAACTGGCAGCAGTGGAAGCAGAAAAAGCAGCAACGGCACTTAACGCAGTACTTACGGCACCATCCTTTGGACCAGTACCACAAGAAACAGCAACCGCTATAGAATTAGCAATAGATGCAGCTAAGACAACAGCAGCAATGGCAGCAGAAACCGCAAACAGAACTACAACAGCAGCAGAAAGAGCAGCAGAAGTTCTGGCAGCACCATCTGAAGAGGCAGCAGCTGAATTGGCAGCAGTAGCCACAGAAAAAGCAAAAGAGGCAGTAAATGCAGCAAGAGCAGCAGTTGCTGCCTCAGCAGCAGCAGCAGCAGCTACAGTGCCAGACACACCAGCAACAACAGCAACCGCATCAGCATTACTTTCTGCAGTAGCAGCAGCAACTTCTGTAGCAGGAGCAGCAGCAGGAGCCACTTCAACTGCTGCTGGAGCAACATCATCCCCAGCTGCAGAAATGGCAGTTAAGGCTGCAATGGATGCAGCCACAGCTGCTGCAGGACAACACAATCTGCAATTTTTACAAACTGCAGCAACACGTGCTGCTAATGCCGCCAAAGAAGCAGCTGAAGCAGCCGCAGAAGAAGCAAGAACAGCACCAGCATCAAAAGCAGAAGCCCTGGCACGACTTGCAAATGCATCATTAATAGCAGCAGAGGCTGCTGAAGATGCAGCAAACGCATTGGCAATGTTAGCCTCGGGTAATGCAACAGCAATTGCAGAAGCTGCACGAGCTGCAAAAAACGTGGCTGAAAAATCAAACGATGCAGCACAAATATTGGAAACAGAATTACTATCCGCCAGTGGGCCAGCAGCAGTATCACTAACAGCAGCAAAAGCAGCCGCAGGAATAGCAGAAGCAACAGCTTTGACAGCATCAATAGCAACTAGAACAGGCATAACAGAGGACATTGCTACAGTAATAACAGCAGCAGCAAATTCAGCAGCAATAGCTGCAAAATCAGCAGCGACTGCTGCAGAAGCCGCACTCCCACGTGCAGACATCACTTCATCCCCAGCATCACCGTCATCCACTGGAACAACAACAGCACCACCGCCAGTAGGAGCAACCATGTCCTCCGACCAAACAACGGTTGCACTACCTGCCACAGCGGGACAAAATTCAGCAGCAACGGCAGCAGTGACGACATCCACAGCAGCAGCAGCAGCAGCAACAGCATTGGTGGCCTCATTAGCAGCATCGGCTGGAGCAACAGAATCCGTAGAAGTAGAACAAGCAGTAAGGGCTGCGCTAGTAGCAGGTAGAGCCGCCACATTAGTAGCAGAAGGAAGTGCACGACCAGAAGTGGCAGTACAAGCAGCTGAAGAGGCAGCAGATGCAGCTTACGTGGCACTTGCAGCAATACCAGCACAACCAATAGGATCGTCAGAAATAGTAGATGCAGCAATACTAGCAGCATCTGCGGCAAGAAAATCAGCAGCTGCAGCGTCTACGGCTTTGGAAACTGCAACGCCGGAAGCAATTAAAGCGACTGAAGAAGCTGCAAAAACAGTGTCAGAAGCAGCAGCAGAATCACTAGAAGCCTTATCAGCAGTCACAGCAGAAGAAAGAGCACAATTGCCAATGGCAAGACGTGAAGCAATCGCCGTAGCAGAAATAGTGGCAGACATAGTGGACGCCACAGCAATTACAGCAGGATTAGTAACATCAGCCGCAGCAGTAAACAACAGAGAAATAATGACATTAACAGCACTGGCGGTGGCTAGATCTGCAACAGCAGCAGCGAACGCAGCAAAACCACTGCTAAGGACAGCCACAGATGCAGCAGCGACCCCACCAACACCAGACGTTACTGCAGCAGCAACAGCGGCTGCAGCAACGGGAGCAGCTGAAGCAAAGAAGGCAGCAGCGATAGGTACGACAGCAGCCGCTGCAGCAGCGGCAGCAACAGCCTCAGCAGCAGCAGCAGCCGCTGGACCAGAAGCAGGAGCAGCAGCAGAAAAGGCAGCAAGCGCTTCAAAAGCAGCAGCAATGGCCGCCACTTTACTTGCAAAAGGGGAAATAACAGCGGAGGAGGCAGCGGCTGAAGCAAGGAAGGCAGCTGATGCGGCACGCAAAGCGTCGCTGGCAGCAATACAAGCGGCAACATCAACATCACCGGCATCAGCAGGACTACGAGCAGCACAAATAGCAGCAGCAGCATTAAAAGCAGCAGATGCAGCAAACACCGCAGCAGAGGCGGCAACGAAGGCGGCATCGTCAAATTCAACGCCAGAAATACTTTCCGCGGCTGAAAACGCCGCCGACGAAGTGGCCACGGAATCAGAAGAAGTGGCAGCAGACTTACAGAACTTATTGTTGGACAGCGCCATAAGTGATGCAGAGCGTGCATCAATAGATGATGCGATTGTGGTGGCACAGATGGCGAAAGTAGCGGCAAACGCAGTGCAATCGTCCCTGATGGCAGCATCATTACCACAAGGCACAGCACCCGACCTGGTCATGTCAACAGCAGAAATGGCGGCGGTGACGGCGACAGCTGCATCGACAGCAGCAGGTACAGCGGCAGCGAGGGTTGTCAACGCGGAAACGGCAGCAGCAACAACAGCAGCACCAACAGCAGCAGCAGCAACAACAGCAGCACCAACAGCAGCAGCAGCAGGAGCCGGTGCAACAGGAGCAGGAGCAGGAGCAGGAGCAGGAGCAGGCGCAGGAGCAGGAGCAGGAGCAGGCGCAGGAGCAGGAGCAGGCGCAGGAGCAGGAGCATCAGTAGTCACTTCATCAGCAGCTGTGATCAACAACAAATTCAGTCTCATGTCTGTCACAGTGGCTGTCATAGCTGCTGTCCTTCTATAGGGAGCAACAAAATTCAGCCACATTAGCATGTCAGGATTGATGGACCCATAGTTAACCTGTTGAATACAAAGATGTAGTTACTATTTAAATATATCATTCTAATTATCCTATTTATGATGTGTATGTGCAAATTATGAATCTTCAATAATTTTTCTTTCTTCAAAGTCAGAGCAGGCAAGAAAGCGTTACCTAATCCTCTAACTCATGGGTAAAGTGCTCAAACTCTGAATAATTACTTTAGCTAATCAGTAACAAACATGGCCGATATTTAATCTAAATAATTATATTTATTATTGTATTTCTTGTGTGCATGTTTGAGTTGGATTGCACATCAAGTGAAGGGCAGAAAATTACCTCTAGATTCACTTAAGGTCAAGATATTGTACCTCTGGTGTACTCTGGTGTACCGCGCGCTAAAGATGTCACAATTATGTTCATCAGTTAAATTTAGTTCTTGATATTGAAGGATTGTATGAAATTATGTAAATAGCTTATTCAATAGTTTATTGTAATTCTTTGTGATTGTGAGCCGCTGCTCTAAACCCAATTAATGTTCTCTTCTCAATCAATAAATGAACCACAAATTAATGTTTGCCTCATTCTGTTTCTTTCAAACCCCTCGACGAGCAGTTCAAACCCTCACATTTATTTGAAATTCTAGCACAGATTCCAAATTGTTTAAAATATGCCAATTCCTTGAAATATGAATATTTGAATATCTCACTCACATAAACATCATATAGAGCTGAAACAAGATGATAGAGAAAATCATCAAATCCCCCTGCATCTGATATACTGTCTAACTTAAAGCTACTTCAGAAGAAACTAAAGGTTAAACTACAGATTAACCCTTTAATAGTTCCACACAGCAAAAATATTTCTGCATAAATGCCAAAAAGCATTTATTGAAATATCAGGACCAGGACTGAGCGGGGCCAACTGTCAGACCCTGCTGCAGTAGACTGAGAGGTTTTCTAAAGGGAGTCTGGTGCTCAGAAACACTACAACTTTAGTCCACAGGGGGCGCCAAAGTCAACACAAAGTGAAAGTTCCTTGTGGTAGCTTTAACCGGATCAACCTGTTGATCTGGTTGTAGTCGCAGCTTGTTTCACCGTCCTTCCACACTTCTTTCAGGATGTGAAGGGTTCTGACTCGTGTAGACTACCAGGTCCAATTTACGTGCTCTTGCAGGCTGTACTTTCCATCGTCAGCTGTCCGATGATGAGGCTCGTAGTTAAAGGTAGTTTTATTCCATACAAACCA